GTCCTCTTTCTTATGTGGGAGTACTATATATAATTTTTTTTTCTATTTTTTATTATATTTACCATTGTACTAACAATAAGATGACGCGAAAGCATCTGCGGGGACGCAAAATTGCGCCAGACATTATTCCAATAAGTTCGGTCTAGACAGATTAAGGGTCGACCAGACCTCTTTCTTATGTGGGAGTATCGCTCACCTATCGGGGCCACTCCTTAGTTACCCTAGATTATAAGTATGTTGTTTTCATATTTAGGTCAGTTTTTGTTGTATTTTATGTTGGGATAATCGTCGGTATCTCCAGGTTTTCCCTTCTAAGGATGTATCCAAGAACAAGTAGTGCTCCGACAGTATCTAATTATGAGGTGGTGATTATCCTCGACTTTTGCCCTCCTCCGCATCCCTCACTTCGCTACCACGCATTATTCCTCACTGCAACAGCTCAGGACAGCCACCATTGATGTTCAGTCCCGCAGTTCTCCTCATTCCAGCCACCTCCCTTCCACATTATCTGTTGACCTCCTTCCAAATAGCCACCAGTCTTCCCCCTTGCTGTTTCTGGAAGCCCACAGATATCCAACCAGCCGTCCAACATCCCTGTAGCAATCAGCCCGCCTGCCTTCCCAAACTGAGCCCCACTTGGTGCTGCTGCCTTGTGCGACCCTCCTCCACCAGCCACTCAGCGTCCCTGCCACACCATACTTTGCTATTTGCTGCAATCTCACGGCAGTCTGTATACACCAGCCATTCCACTTCGCTGCCGCAACCTTGCCTACAGCCTGCTCTCATTCCCTGGCAACCATCCTACACCAGCCCCCCATTGGCTACCATTCCGTCATCATACCGTTGCCATCAAACTCCCTTCCCTCCCCAATACCCAACCACCACCCCTTTGGGATACAATTCTAATTGCATTTGTGGAGTCAGTTGCCATTTCTATATCTGCATGTGTGAGCTGTATTCCCTAATGTTAAATTTAGCAATAATATTAGATTTCCCCATCATTGTTTGAGTTAATTCCGGTATCATAAGGTGCAATGAAGGCTATTTTAAAATTTCTGTAAAACCATTCACAACTATAAAGAACAGTGGACCATATCGAACCCACTTCTCAAACCATTTTAAATCCAAATAGGTACATAGGATCAGAAAAGTAGCGATCTTGATAGCTATTACACCATGGAATATAAACCTTACATTGACTGCTGATTTTGGAAAACTTCATGCACATTTTTATCACGAGGATAAGGAAATGACAATTTTATAAATGGCCTAAAAGGAGTAATGATGGAAATGAGGATAACATGTTTGATCCTTTTAACAGCTACTGGATGAAGATCAAGTATCCAATGCTATGCGTCTGTCGTCAGTTATAGCTTACTCTTATTCCTATTATAGTAAAAGACGGTCAGCAAATAATATTCTATGCGCCATTTTCATTTGATATAAGAGTCGTTCACTGGAAAAAAAATCCTAAAATTTAAACCCTTCAGCAAATAATACTTCAATACAAGATTAAAATCAAGGAATCAAATTGATCAATCAAAACAAAAGAAATAAAGCAACTTACCATCAACATCAATGGTTTCCCCAAAATATTTATAGGTGGCTGAATTTCTCCCTGCTCTGATTGCACCGGCTGGGCTCCAACTAATAAGCACAAGCAACAAAATGTACACTCATGTCAAAATTAACAACACTGAAAGGAGCTAAACCACTGAATCTAAAAAAGAATAATGGTGTATACTCATAAAATGCATGAATCAGTTGTGTAAAAACAGTAAAAGAAGAGAGAAATGAAAGTTAACATGAGTAGATGTACCTTTATATCTAATGCATGACAACATATCTTAGACACTGCATTGCAAAAATCCCAGGTCTACTTTCCCAATCATGAAAAATCATGCCAATATCATGACTTGTATAAATTTAATTTCAAAGAATCTCAAACATGGCCTTGTTATGACAAGGTGCACAATCTCAACTTAATAATAATAAATATATAATAATGCTCAATTTTGAAGAAATGTTTTAAGCAGTCAAGCTTTTGAAACAGTCTCCAAACAAATAAGTAGATGTCCTTTCAAAATGTATATGAGAATCAATACTAAAATAGGATATTGTACAACTATTAGTTTTTGCTTCTCTATCCATGAAAAGCCATTCCAAAAATGTGACTTCTGCAAAATCACTGCATGAACATGTACAAGAAACAGTAACGGCAGGGAAATAAATTTTGGAGTTCTAACACCATGTGAATTTCTTTTATGCACCATTCATAATCAATAAAGTAGATGGATATGTTTAATAGAAATTTCTTGGTTGGAAGATATGTAGAATATGAGGCTCAAGTCTTCTTTTTACTCAGGATAGAGATTTTGTTGTATTTCAGTATTAAAGTTCAGAATAACAGTCCTAACTAAAAAATATTAAAGAATTTAGTGTGAAAAGACGGCCAATATAGACTTGGCATTTGTTATAGGGCAAGCTTTTAGGAAAAAATACCTGAACTTGTAGGCCAGTGGATTGTTTGCAGCAGCTGGAGATGGCAATCCACCACAGTAGGAAGTGAATGACTTTATTTTCCCCTTCTTAACATGTGCTTGGTTGATCATTTGCATTGCCATCATGTGATCTGCATGTTGATAAGTTATATCCAAGAGCTAATCTATTCAGTGCATCAATTTAGTCAATGAATATACTTCCTAGAGTAAAAGAAGCAGATAAATGAAATGTCCATAAATAAACGCTTCACTCCCTCCCTCTCTCACCACCAACATCACAAGGACCCCATCCTTTCCTACAGATCTGAGCTGGATATCAACCAAGAGGGAGTCTAAATGAGTTCTTTCTCAAAATTTCGTTTGTATTTTCTGCCAAACTTAATTGAGATAGAACTTTTATACCATGAGTTTGAGATCTTATAGTTAATTTAGTCTTAAGTTGATGCTAAATGATGTTCAGACACACATCCATCAATCCCTCCTACAAGCTTACCACCATCAGAAACCACATCTCTTACCTATGCCAGGATCGAGTCCCATTTCACAAAGTATTGTAACACCTGCATGTTTGGCCTTCTCATGATATGCTGACATAGAATTGTCTATATAACTTGCAGTGACAAGGTGCTTCTTGTGCTGCAGAAATTGAGCGAGGTTAGGCATTGCAAAACAGCTTGCATTAAAAACACGCGCGCGCACACACACACAAACGAAGGCTCACATAAATGTACATATCATGCAGATCAATTGTTGCATATTCATGTAAATAAATACAGTGATGTGTCTGCTAATTTATTACAAGACGGTGTGCCTGCAAAACTTAGATGTATGCACAATTAAATGCTTGAAACAATCTTTAACCAATCTTCATGGAGTCCAGACATCAACATTTGGTATATAATCATAGCAGATATAAGTATGGTTAAGTAGGATGCTATACAGATGCACAGCCTCCCCTACTAGAAATTTCTCACACAGGGTTCTATAATTCTGACACAAATAATAATCAAGTTAACATGAACCCAGGATTTTCAAGCCACGTTTGGTAGGGTCATTTTTTTGACCCTAGTTATGGTGCATGGGTAAATCATATGAAATGGAATGATGATCTAACAAATTATTTGTTATAAATCTTATAACTATAAAAATTTGGTGAAGATATAGACATAACGACACAAACTTCTATCTCGATGATGATGAAAAACAAGCAATTTTTTTAGAAGATAATGACGTTGCACTCATTTGCAATATAATATATCCATTTTTAAACAATGAAACAATTCTTAATTTCAAACAAAATTAAAATTTTGGTCATGATATGGATATGACGACACAAACATCTATTTCAATAATAATTAAGCAATTTTTTAAGAAGATAATTATGTCGCCCTTATAGGCAATATAAAATATCCATTTTGAAACAATCAAAAAATTCTTAATTTCAAACAAAAATAGTGAATAAATAAAATAAAGTATTTGAATGGCGTCACCTTAGCATGATTGTATATGAATAAAAAAAAAAATTCCAAGATAATGCATTTTTTTAATTCAGCATAGAAGTGTAAATTATAAAACGAACTTTAATTAGGAACTGATGCTATGGTGTGGTGTGAATAAGACGTAATTCACAGCAAACATGCGGACCATTTCCATTCAATACAATTCTGTGAACTAGACTGAATAAAAGTGGAAATGTGGTCTCAGCATAAACATGCAAAGACCACTGCTAGGCGTAGATTTATATTTGCAGTACTTCATAGCATGTACAAAATAGACCAGAACAATGTAAGCGAAGTAATTGATCTTAAAATTGAAAAGCAAAAAATAAAAAATAAAAAACGCAAATTTTCATATCAGCAATCAATAAAAACAAATGTCAGGTTGGTGAGATATTCAATTAATGAGACAGCTCATGAAGTACCTCTATGCAGGACTTTGCTATGATGCCATGGAAACTGGGAGGCAATAGGCTAACCACGACCTCAACCTGTATAAGGTAACATGTTCAGAATAGGCAATTGATGTTGATTGCTGGCATATCACTTTTAATATTTTCAAATGTGTTGAAATTCAAAATAATTCGAAATTAGGCAGGATTCAAAATAATTTTATTGATATGAATGCGGGGGTATAACCCTTACATAAATCCTAGAATAGAAAAAATAATAAAAAGAAATAACATGAAAAAGAAAGATATATCACCCAATACTCCAATAATCAAATCATATTATTTAGTTGGAGATAAAAAAAAAATAATATAAAACAGAAAAACCTAAAATAGGAAAGAAAATAACTCCTAATCTAAAGAAAAAAATATAAAATATGAATAATATAAAACAGAAAAACCTAAAAGAGTGTTGACCTCATTTTTAGTGAGGTCTAGTCTGGAAAGAAAGTAACTCCTAATCTAAAGAAAAAAATATAAAATATGAAAGAAAATAACCCTTTAATCCAAGGAAATAATTTATTCATTATAAGTTCTCACAAGAATAAATAATTGTCTAGTATAACTCCTAACACCCCCTCTCAAGTTGAAACATGGTTGAAAACCATGTTCAACTTGGATTTAAAAACTCCAAACAATGGGTGAGAAAGATCCTGAGAAATAAAACTTAAAAGTATTTATCCCAAACTACTGTTGTCTTTGACTGTAATTCCTGCAGTGTCTGTAGATTGACAGAATACATTTATAGGTAATGTTGCATGGGAGTTTGTAGAGAAGTAGAAAAACAACGGTTGCAGTTTCTGCAGTGTCTGTAGAAAAACGGAAAACTCCTACAAGTAATGTTGCAGGTGAGTTTACAGGAAATTAAACAACTGTGATTGTCTTTTGACTGCAGTTCCTGTACTGTCTATAGGTAGAAGAAAAGCTTCTATGAGTGTGTTGCAAGAGAGTTTGCAAGGAAGTAAACAAACAACAAGAAAAGTTGCAAGGATGTCCTGCAGAAAAACAGCCAAGAGGTAGGTCTCGTTACAAGAAAAGGCTCCACTAGAGGAAGAACTCAGGCGAGAGCCTGCTGTAGTGAAAACTCCAGGGGACTAACATAGGAAAAAGTTCTAGAGTATGGAATGATACAGGAAAAAGCTCCATACGAGGTTCTGCTACAAGAAAAACACCGGAAGAGGTCTACATACATAAAAAGTTTCGGAAGAGGGTATGCTGCAAAAAACCTCCAAAGGAAAACCTATTTCAAGAAAAAGCTCTCGAGGAGGCCTGGTGCAATAAAATAACTTGAAGAGGATGCTAATGAATTAAATGGGCTTCAACCAGATAAGCAGCTATAGAAGCACCTGCACTAAATAAACCAAACCATAGAAAGTTGGTCTGAGGCCATCACTGGATACTCCCCCTGCTTGGTCATATATCCACCCAACACTCTCACTATCTCAGATGGAAGCTAGAGTGGCGACGCCAAGCAAGTAGCTTAGGGAATCAGGAAGCCGGACTGCTCCTAACTATTGCAGGGTATAGGCGCCAAAGAATAGCGGAAATGGCCTGCAGAAGAGGTGGCGGGGCAGCTATACCTCCAGCAGCAGGTACCTGCAAAAAAATCAGTGAAGCAGGACTGTTGGAAATTAGGAAGTCGGACCGTTGGAAATCTGCAGGAAATTAGGAAAGCTAGATTGATGGAAATCAGGAAGTCAGGCTGCTGCTGGGAACAGGCGCAACAAAAAACTACGGGAAGGATGGCAGGTATCAAGGATACTCTCTTCTTATTTTCGGTGGCTGAAATGTGGAGGGAAGACAACTGAGAAAAATAACTCCCTCTTTCCGAGATTTCTCTTGCGGAAAGGTTTGCTGCAAGAAAGATCCAGAAGGAGGCTCTACTGCACGACACAGTTTTATATGGCATCACTTCTTCCGATGATGTCCAGCCTTCATTCCTAGAAATTGTATTACTCGAGGAAGCCACATGAGTCAAAGCATTTGTAAATTCAGCTTCAACAAATCCATCAATACAATCATCAAAAGCACATCTTGGTAATGAAGAATCTCATCATCAATCATGGGGTGGTATGATGCCTTGAGGTCTATGATTTTCTACCTCACCGGTTTATTTCATTCAATCTCATGCAATTTTGCCTTGTTTCAACTCACACATTACTCATCATAGAAAGCAGTGACACACTTCAATAGATTATAGACCGCACACCTCAGAAAAGTCGCTCCTTCGAGTTCGATGCAGAGGTTGAAGGAAAAGTCTGCTCCTTTAAACTCTAGGTCAAACTGTTGAAAACGGTGTTCGGGCGCCTTGAACTCTCGAGCACCACCGTCTGTGTTGCTTTGACTCGAACTCTAGATTGATATCGAACCGTTGAAGTCGAGGATCGGGCGCCCCACACTCTCAAACACTAGCATCTACTACTTCGCTTTGAACCCTATGTCGAAGACAAACTTTCGAAGATGCTTTGGCGCCTCGAACTGATGAAGGCGATAGCACCTCAAACCCTCGAACACGTCATCTGCCCTTCCACTCCTTCGAAGCCGAAATTTTCAATTAAACCTTTTTATTTCTATCACACTTGTTGACTCAGACCGCTTTGCTTCAACCCCTAACAGAGCGCTTCACAACTGCAACTGAATCGAGCTATAGCAGAGCAACGGACTTCAAACTTCAACCAATCAAGATGAAGGCCGCTTAAACATGGAAGAAGCTTTGGATTGAAAACCCTAGTTCAGAGACGAAGGGTGGAGAAACATAATCGCTCTCAACCCCGTTGTACACAGTTCGTGGTCGAAGTTGTGAGATCCCAGCGAGTAAGGAGGCATTACTCAGAAGTACTTGCAGGGATCTCTTCCGGCCACGAGGGCTTAGACAAAGAGAGAGAGCACCTCACTTCACGCACGAAGGATGGCAGAAAGGGAGTCCGACTGTTCTAGAAGGAGGACCGATGGCTAGAGTACGAAATTAGACTCTAATATCATGTTGAAATTCAAAATAATGTGGAATTAAGCGAGGATTAGAATAATTTTATTGATATAGAAGCGGGTATAAATAACTCTTACATGAATCCTAGAATTAGTAAAAGATAATAAAAAGGAATAACATGAAAAGAAAAAATATATCACATAACATCTCCAATAATCAAATCATATTAACTATTTGGAGATAAAGTAAATAACATAAAATAGGAAAATCTAAAATAAGAAAGGAAATAACTCCTAATCTAAGGAAATAAATGTAGAATAAAAAAGTAATAACTCCTTAATCCAAGGTAATAATTTATTCCTCATCATTTCTCACACGAATAAATTATTTCCTAGTATAGCTCCTAACAAAAATGAAATAATATTCATTGTGAAAAGGGAGAAAGGAATTAAAGATTTTTACTAGTAGTATATTACGATTTTAAAGGGAACAACCAAAGCAATAGTTGTGTAGGATAAAACAATTAGGCATTTTGAAAATTCAGGATCTTTATTGGTTCTCAGATTTTTCTTTTTCCTTTTTTTTTATAGCTCGGCTGAAATAATAGTTAGTCCATGTTAACTGGAAAATAAAATTAATAACAATATTTCAAATAGCAATGCAGTTATCTAGAGCCTTCAGTAATAGACCTTTATGTTCATAAAAATACCCAATATCAAGAAGCCAATTAAAAAGATATTGAAACTACACATATGTTAGACATTGAAAATATCCATCATCAGCAAGAAGACATCCTTTACAAGAAAGTAGGCCAACTAGAGAGCGCAAGCCTAAGTCAAGATGATGTGGGGCTTGGCAGGGCTCAATCGGCTGAAAAGTGCAGAATCGGTTTAGCCTTGCTGTTGTTTAGGTAGGCAGGTCCAAAAGTGTTAGTTTTACCTCGTAAAGAGAGGGGCTTCCTCCCTCGCAGTTATCTATTAGTATATATATATATATATATATATGTTTTGACTGTTTAGGATTCATTTTTTGCTTGTGTCAGATTTATCGTCGTCGGCGTTTCTCCCTTCTTAAGGTTGTATCCAAAGTCAGGTAGTGCTTCAGCTGTATCATACTCCAAGATAGTGTATCTCCCCACATTCCTGCAATTAGTCCCTCACTGTGGTACCTAGACTCCATGCATCCTCTGTTTTCCCTGCCGCACCCTCCTACCGCAGAAAACCTGCTATCATCCCTCCTCTGCCTTTCAATCTACAGCCAACAACCTCATCCCCACACTCCCTGTTGATAGCAACCTCTTTGAATTTCCCACCTACTGCCTTAACTTCTTCCACATGACCAAACCTGCTGCCATAGACCATCATCAACCTCGCTACTCAAGCCAACATTCTCTACCTAACTTCCCGTTAGTATCATAACCTCAACCTGCACCCCACCAGTTGTCCAACCGCCACTCACCCACTTCATCCTCGCCCTAGAGTGTTGAGAGCTTTGTTTTCAATGTTATTTTTGTTTCGAAAACCCATATATTATAGTTTTTTCCATATCTTATATTAATATTTTGAGTTTGTTGCATTTTGAATTATGTCTGGTATCAAATGGAATCAAAGCCAATCTAACCCTACTCCATTCCTAAGGTTCCCTAGCATCCACATTAACCCCACAAAAAATTTTCTTTCCTATCATCATCCACCTCTTTCAATCCTAAAACCCTAATCATGCCACCAAGAAGATACATGTCAGAACCTACCCGAGACAAGATACGGTGAGAAATCCATCAGCTTCAGTAGAGGCTTATAAAGATTGACGATGAAACCTAGGGGAAGATTACCATTGATAGTGATTTAGAGAGTTAAAGACGAAAGGGATAAGGATCCGAATTCGTTTCATGGGGAAGACGTCAATGATGAGAAATGCAGACCCCGATGCTTTGGAATTTAGTATCAGAGGAGGTCGAGAGTGGAAACCACATACGGAGGACACATGGATTTCCGCATCAAAGTTGATCTACCGGAAGTCAATGGATGTATAGATCCAAACAACTTTAATCGACTAACCACAATTTGTTGAGTGAATCTTTGAGTATAAAGAATTGCCAAAGGTTAAACCGATAAAA